GGCAATTTGAGGAAATTCCACACGGAGAAAATTATTTGGTGAATGTTAACAAGTAGTTGTTGAAAAAATTAATTGCCAACCAGTTAGTGAATTTCTCCAACTAGTTGTTAAAATTCACCAACTCCTTCTTGAAATTCACCAAATAATTGTCTCCATGCATCCCAAACAAAAAAAGTTTCGCCTCATAAATCTGAATTCCTCCCACCTCTTCCTGAAATATCCCCGTCTCTTCAATGTCACCACCGACATCTTCCTCATGACCTATTCATAAGAATACCCATGTCAACACCACTGGAATCTTGTTATCCGTAGCCATGAAAAAACCGGAACGAGATATAAAAACGATCAGCAGTCATTTCTAAATCAGTTCCCCAGCAACAACTCGGCGTTTCTGCCATCTGGCATCACCAGCCCCCGTTTATTCGCATTATTGTTGATGCCAGATAGTCACTCATTGAAATACCACAAAAATTAACAGCTCCACTCGTGTCCTTCACTCTCGTTATTAAAGAACACTCCCTTTCAATTTTCACAAATTCATTCAATTACGAGTGGTTGTCTCATAAATCTGAGGAAAATATTGAGGTCACGAGGGGATCGGCTATTCCTGAATGAGGTATTAATATTCTTTTTTACGGAATTGCTAAATTGTTTCCGTCGATGATTCAACAGTAGATATCGCCTCGCGTAATTATCGTTTTATCGGTATAACGCAACTTTTATCGTCTTCATTAACAGAAGTGACTCTACTCTCTCTTAATAGCGAATATCTGAGATAGAGGCGCGGTCTCTTTCATCTCTTTGAAAACCTCTTTCAGTTTCCATAACAAAAAAAAATCTGTGTCTATTGTTTTGACGAATGTAATCAGCGAAAACATAAAGTTGAGTCGAAGAGGCATGGAACATCGTTTTATTTATATCGATGAGACGGGGGCCTAATGTCTCACCACTTCCCGTGAGATCACGACGATTATTGTTTGCACGTTAGCGCGAAATGTCTCGTACAAATGCCACGCACTTACGTAATACCCCTGGGGGCTAGTTTTGCGGCGAGTCATTGAGCCGTCGTGTGGCAAGATCACTGTTAGATCATAAACAGTGGAAATTGAATGATCCGAGTGGAGCGAAAATATCAGGATTGAATGACGGGCGAATTAACGATGGGCGTGATGATTTTTAATTTGTAATTGTGGGGAACTGGGGATTATGACGCGGTGGCAGTGAGCGATGTTCAGAAGGCTAGGAGCGAATGAATCGAGAGGCTGTACTTTATTATTTGAATGGGATTAGCAGTGGTGTGATGAATCACTAGACAATTTTTTTGCAGGAACATGGGTTATTTGAATCTAATAGAGGATTTATTTGGCTCAAATAAAATTCATATTTATATTTCTGATATATTTATAGTATTATAAATATTATGAATAATATTGTAATATATTATTTATAATTATATTTATTTCAACCAAATAATTTAAATATTTAATTTATTTGATATTTAAAGACTGTTGAAAATTTGTTGCTCTCATTTCCGGTCTACTTTTTCAAAATTTTCATCACATTATTGTTACACTGAAGGTTCAGGGTTTTTTTCCTCTCAAATCAAATTTAGAATTAAGGATTTCGAAGGATGTTCTAGATAATTTATTAAAAATTTCGAAATTTAATGAGAAAAGAGTGGAAAAATGAACTATCTTCAAAGAAAAATAACTCGTGAAGATTTTTTTCATTTTGAAGATATTTTTTCAAGCTTCACGGAGAGAAATGTTCAGTAAAAATTACGGAACTCACAATTCCCTCACCGATTACGGAATCGCCTCAGAAAATTAAAGTGACGCTATCCCAATTTTTCACAGGAGATTCAGAAAAAATTACGGAACGCTCTGTAAAAATTCCCGGACAGTTCCGTAAAATTTCCTACAACCACATTTCGCTCCGAAATTACGGAGAAGATACGTAATTTTTATTAAATATTTCTCTACGTCTTCAAAACAAGTACTTTAAGTAAAATGTCAAGAGACACTTTTAAAAACCACAGTCTCAAAAAAAAATTCCTGACACTCCTCTCAAACCAGCTACCAAAACCAAATATTTATCCTCACCTACCCCATTCCCCTGACATTACAAAGAAGTTGGCCATGACAACATTTCCCCATCCACTTTAAAAAAAAAACCATGAAAAGTCATCATAAAATGCTATGAATAACCGATTCCCGCGAAAGGTCACCGGGGCCCCCGCCGCAGGTAAAAAACTCCCCATTATACTCCAATTAAAAACAAAAGAAGAGCCAGCAAAAAGGTAAATTGGATTTGGCGGGCGCAAGAGCGACACTGGAATTGAGTCTGCGTGACTGGCGGGCGCGCGCGCCCGTTGTCGTGGTAACGCATCCTCACGGGGGCCTCTCGCTCGCACCTCTCGGCTATCCCATGCAGGAAGGACCAAGACGAAGGAGGGAGAGGGAGGAATCATCCCTGTATCCAGCCGCATCGGACCGGGCGCGGCACTACCCTGTGCCTGAGCGGCGCAGTCGTTGGTCTCTCGGCCCCCAGTTGACCCAGGTCGGGAGGTCCTTCCTCGGATAATCCTTGACGTGTCAGTTTAATTGTACGGGCGGGAAATAAATAAATTTGCCGATGCCATAGGACAATCCGATGGGGCAACCCAATTAAACAATTCAACAAAACGATTTACTGAAACAATTCACGAAAGTAATTTGACAAAAGGATTCGTTAAATATGACGATAAACAGGGAAAAATGCGCGACAACAAAGTGAAAATAAAAACTGTCCGAATGATATCGAGTAGAAAAATTGGTTTTAGTGCCACCCAAGTGGCGTATCAACGTGGGCGAGTGACACGCGTGCCGCGAGGTATAAAATCTCACGGGTACCTGAATTAGTCTCCCCCCCCCCTCCCTCCGGCCGATTAAGATACCCCGGGGATTAACGGTGAAAGGCGAAGGCCTGTACCGTAGAATTATTTGCGCACTTTGACGTACCCCGATCGTCACGTTTTTCCCGTGGTGTGTGCGGTGGTCCGGGTGCGCGGACGGACGAGGGAGAATTAAAACGAATTTCAGTGATACGAGGGAAATGACAAATTCCAGCGGCAACTCCCTGTCCCGGGCCTGGCTACGTGCCCGTTGCTGCCGGTACGGTGGACATGATCCCAACAACAATTGGAATCATCGGTTTTTACATCAGGACGATGAGGTAGCCTTGAACGAAGAGACTGAGACACTTCTGCATCGTATCGCCTTCACGGTTTGGCATACGGCACTTCACATTGAACGCGAGGTGCGTGTGACGCACGTGCGCGCTCTTACTCCCCTCCGCCCCCTTTTTTTTCCTCTGGAGAGGGATAATTTGTGGGGGGGTCTTGATGTTTGGGGAATTGAGGGGATCTGTCCGGGAAATTGAAGGAATTTTGGAATTTTTAGAGATTGAAATTTTTAGGAATTTCATTGAATTTTAAAAACTGTGGAAAGTCGGGAATATTTCAGGTGGTAGTCGTAGAGTCAGTGGAGTGGATTTGAAATCTGGTGAAATGTGGATGTTTTCAATTTTTATTTCTATTTATTTCATTTTTGTAAATTTTATTTAAATTATTCAACGAAAATGAATTGAAATCAGAGAAAATCAGATGAACATATTATTGAATTTTAAATTTATTGAAAATTCTGGGTAATTTAGTACAGTATATTCATGTTTGATTGACAATTTAAGTAAGTTTGGGAATCCTTGTTTACGTGTTTCTAAAAAATTTGGGATTTCACCGAATTTTCAGTAAAATCGGAAATTTCAAGATTTTTTCTCCCTGAACTGAACTCACTGTTACTCTCCTGAAAATTACTACACTGTTAGAAATTTTTTGAATGTTAAGCAATAGTTGTACTTGAACTCTCAATGTTGTGAATTTGAATTGAATTTAAGATCAAATCGTTCATGGAATTCTCATTTCAATGACATCTCAAATTTTCAAATGATTTAATAATTTTCATTACTATGTGGGCCTGACAATTGCTATTCCATTGAATATTCGCCAATTCAACTGATTTTTCAGTAACAAAATACACGAAAATTTCGTGTGAATGAGTGATTGTTAAAAATTTCAAGATTTTTTACTCGAAATTTCAGGAGAAATTTCTAACATCTCTAAGGATTCCTTCCGATTCCATAAAATTCGAAAAAACGCAAATTTTTCCGGAGTAATTACCTCCTCGACATCCCGGAATATATCCAAAACTAACGATAAAAAAGTCGAAACCAAATCTCTGACTCCACACTGATAGAAGAATTGATTTCCAGTATTTAACTTCTTGTCTATTGATGCAATTCGTTAATACTTAGCAAATGGCACTAACAGTCCCCTAAATCCTTTGGCAGTGTCTATTCGCACGCTCCACGGTAAATTTTTCCGTGGATTCGCGGTAGATTCTCCTATATACCACGGTAGAAAATACCTTGAATCCACGGGAAAACGTCCCGTATATCCACGGTCAAAATTACCGTGGAGCGAGTGAATACACGAAGAGAAATATTCAATAAAAATTACGCATCTTTTCCGTAATTCCGAAGCGAAATGTTGTTGTAGGAAATTTTACGGAATTGTCACGAAATTTTTCCGGAGCGTTCCGTAATTTTTATCTGAATCTCTTGTGAAAAAATCCGATACCGTCACTTAAATTTTCTACGTCGAGTGAATTGTGTTCCGTAATTTTTACTGAACATTTCTCTCCGTGTAGACACTGCCAAATCCTTTAACCGTTTTTCCCAGTCCACGGCATGAATAACAAATGAATAAAAAATCGGACACGCAGAAAATACAAAATGAAACAAAACGAACCCCAGATTTACCGAGTAATTACCCCTCCCCTCGACCACATCACCTCACAGTCATCTCATCTTCAACTCATTAATTCACGGATTAAGATATTTTTTTCAATGTTTACGCTACACTCCTCCCTGCATTAATATTCTCTCCATTATTTTTGTTTCAGCACAATGGAAGCTACGATCACCCTCGCGTCACACCGAAACCCGTCGTCAAACATGTGGTAAATTACATTAATAACTCCCCTTCAAAAAATACACAATTTTCATGCTAAAACACGGAGAGATGTAAGAGTGCTGGTGGGGTTTATCGCACCGCTGATAAGCCAACGCGATTCATCCCGTAAATTTCTTCGCCAAATATTTAATATTGGAACAAGCCTCTCAGCGAGGATCTCCCCGCACTCTTTGCTTCACTTTGCTAGTCGTTAGTCTTTACTTCCATGTACGTATCTTCTTGGCCTCGCTCGTTACGTCACCGAGCCGCTGGCCGCCACGCTAGCTTCATTTATTCCGTGAGAAAACACGCCATTGGACGGTGTATTTACATTTCAAACGCGAAAACTATTCGTCCTCAATGGCTTGCGGTAAAACACTGTGAGATGGGGGGGTTGCAGGCACAAACTGTTGGTGGAATTCCATTAGAAACAATTTTGCATTCACTGAGGACAAAATGTTTTTATTCTCGTGGACATGTCACTAATTTTCAGGAATCTATCGCTAATTATTGGTGATACTAGTGCTTTTGAGGTAATTTTTTTCGTGTCGAAATCAACATTTAGGCTATAAATGCTAGAAAAGTCTAGAATATTCGGAAATATATATTTTTTAATTTTATTCAAGCATTTCTACAATTACAGTTCAATTTGCACACGTATTTCTCGTTATAACAATGAGACCATGTGAACTATTTACAGATATTGTGGTGAATTCCATTAGAAACAATTTTGCATTCACTGAGGACAAAATGTTTTTATTCTCGTGGACATGTCACTAATTTCCAGAAATCTATCGCTAATTATTGGTGATACTAGTGCTTTTGAGGTAATTTTTTTCGTGTCGAAATCAACATTTAGGCTATAAATGCTAGAAAATTCTAGAATATTCGGAAATATATATTTTTTATTTTATTTAAACATTTCTGAACAATTATAGTTCAATTTGGACACATTGCGCGTTTCAACAATGAGACCATGTGAACTATTTACAGATATTCTGGTGAATTCCATTGGAAACAATTTCGCATTCATAGAGGACAAAATGTTTTTATTCTCGTGGACATGTCACTAATTTTCAGGAATCTATCGCTAATTATTGGTGATACTAGTGCTTTTGAGGGAATTTTTTTCGTGTCGAAATCAACATTTAGGCTATAAATGCTAGAAAAGTCTAGAATATTCGGAAATATATATTTTTTAATTTTATTCAAGCATTTCTACAATTACAGTTCAATTTGCACACGTATTTCTCGTTATAACAATGAGACCATGTGAACTATTTACAGATATTGTGGTGAATTCCATTAGAAACAATTTTGCATCCACTGAGGACAAAATGTTTTTATTCTCGTGGACATGTCACTAATTTTCAGGAATCTATCGCTAATTATTGGTGATACTAGTGCTTTTGAGGTAATTTTTTTCGTGTCGAAATCAACATTTAGGCTATAAATGCTAGAAAAGTCTAGAATATTCGGAAATATATATTTTTTAATTTTATTCAAGCATTTCTACAATTACAGTTCAATTTGCACACGTATTTCTCGTTATAACAATGAGACCATGTGAACTATTTACAGATATTGTGGTGAATTCCACTAGAAACAATTTCGCATTCATAGAGGATAAAATGTTTTTATTCTCATGGACATGTCACTAATTTTCAGGAATCTATCACTAATTATTGGTGATACTAGTGCTTTTGAGGTATTTTTTTCGTATCGAAATCAACATTTAAGCGATAAGTGCTAGAAAAGTCTAGAATATTCGGAAATATATATTTTTTATTTTATTTAAGCATTTCTGAACAATTATACTTCAATTTGCACACATATTGCGCGTTTCAACAATGAGACCATGTGAACTATTTACAGATATTGTGGTGACTTCAACTTCTAACAATGCACTTCAGATTTTTATGGCACATTTGCGAAGAAACTCGTTCATTGTGACAAGAATTTTTATTTAGTCTAATTGGGAATAAAATCGATTTCTGATAAAATTCTGAAAATTAACAAATTTATTACGATTCCGAAAAAATGAGTGTTAAAGTAAAGAATTTATTATCCATAGATTGTTTATAGAAAAATATCGTAATCTTAAAGAATGATAAATGACATTTTCCCCCAATTATCTTATTCAAAGAATTCAAAGATGTGAAAGCACTGAAAAAGTGTTTTTTAACGATTCCAAATCAAGAATTAAATTTAAACTATTCCAGTCTCAATATCAATTTATTCGTCTGACGTATACTCTCTCAGGTTTTTTCATTTTTGTTCTTCAAACCCCTTAAAACTAGCAATATCGATACCGCGCCATACGTGCTACATTAAGTTTGATATTGTTTTAATATTATTAGTTTTACATTGTTTAAAATTATTCCAGCCTCAATAATAAAGCCATTAGAAAACGTTCGCTAAGACAGCTGCAAATGGAATTTTCCTATCCGGGACGCTAAAAAATGTCGAAATTATTTGAATATCATAAGAGAAACAAAAAAACTCTATGAATCCAAAAATTCACGTCCTCAAATCAAACAAATACTTGCCCCCAACATCAATAAAATCCCATTTATTTACTTTTACGACACGTAACAATCAACAACGATTAAAATTCAAGAATGTTCATTGTGTTACGTGCGAAAAGCCCCACGATTAATATCAGCAGCGGCCGCAGATCGAAAATTTAACGATTCCTCAAGCGACTACGCATAATGAAATATTCAAAAGCTGTTTCCCTCCCCTGAAAAAAAATCCTGAAAATCGTTTTTACACGGGAAGCTGCGGCGCACCAGTCACTAAAAATAAACATTTATGATGCCATAACACTGTTGTGAGTTCCCGTGTGTCCCCAAAGTCCCGTGCCATTATAGGGCCCCACATATCCAACGAAAAATTCTCTTGTCTCACCCGTGAAAAGTGCTGCACAGTCATAAATTCATTCTACCGTTACGCTTCACGTGTGAAATTGCTATTACGTCGACTTACGTTAGCTTCTCAAGTTGTGTGAATCTCTTGCCACCCCCGTATCTACCCAGCGGGTGATACCAGACGAGATAAGAATTCTTGACTTGCCCCCAGGACACGACGCGAATTGCCCTGAATTACTCTGAATTGCGAGTGTCTACCTACCGTTATGAGATGTGGATCATCGAGTCTGGGGGTTTTTTTATCGAACAAATATTCACTGAATGAGTTTTTCGTCGTGAAAACGCAATGAATTGCTTCATGAAATCTCTAGAGATCCACAAGTATTTCGAAGAACTTGAAAATATTCTTAAGAAGTTCCCGTAATTAATGACATGAAGAGTCAGCGAATGAGAAAATTGAGATGTATAATTCTCATGCGAATATGTTCAAAAACTACTGACAATTTTTTATTCACATATCATACATAACTAATTTAAACTGAGCTTTCGAGAAATATTAAGAAATTCATGGAATTAAAATTTGTTTGATGAATTTACTAAAATTCCATTAAACAAATAAAAAAACCACAAACGTTTCAAAGAACTTGAAAACATTCTGAGGAAGAATGACCGCAATGCCGAATAAATTCATTAACTTTAAATTCATTCTGAGGAAGTTGATATAATTCCAAATTATTGTCAATAAAATATAAAACGACTAAAGCTTTTTAGTTGACACATCAAACATAACTAATTTGAAATGAGCTTTCGAGAGATATTAAAAAATTGACGGAAATAAAATTCGTCAAATGGATTTAATGAAATTCCATCAGTCAAATAAGATCTAGAAGAATAGACAAACAAACGACAATTACACAAATAAACCAGAACCTGACCTATCAAGAGGGGATGGATTAGACGGAATACCTTGACTATTCCCAGCCATCTCTTATCCATGCAAAAATCACCAGTGGACCTTGAGTGATCTTGAGGTCATGACAAGAGACTGATTTCATCAGTTGGCAAATCTACAATTCATGCATGTAGCCTTAACCAGAATGACGACTTGCCACTGCCTCTACACCTGACACACGTTTGTACATCAATTCCGCCGTGACGGAATTACCAAGAAGAATAGCCAACGACAGGAAACGAAAAATCGCCTGTTCTACATCGTTGACTCGATTTGCACGCGATATTCCAAATGAACCGGACTGAGTGGAGAACAGAAGCCAATCAGGATACGAGTCCTCCCTACTCTGGGCCATCCAGAGGCTAGGCATTTTCAGCTGAAGCCAGTCGTCTCCTGATGCTCTCCACCTGAATGTTGAGCATTCGGTGGTGGCATGTAAAGCTCAACCCTCTGGGGATTTATCTCCACAGCGATATGTAACGGTGGTGCTCGTTAGACACGAATTACAGGGTTATTTGATATCGAGTGGGCGCCCTCCGGGTGAAACCCGCCTCAATATGCGGAAGATCCAACTCGTCAGGATTTTCTACGCGCCCACGTACACCAAGGTTATCTTAATTAACCTCGGGCCGAGTAAAAACTTCCCCCGATTATAAATGAATTTCACTTCCCTCGTTACTTAGTATCTCAAATTATCATCTTCTTCATTCTACCAGTTTTATTGAATTAATATTCCTCTTTACAGGTGCACAAAGTATCTTCATCGTCATCTAGAACACCGGGTGTTGGGGCTGATGCAAGCATCACGACAACCGGCAAAGCGGGTAGAGTCAGTGAGGTCATGGAATTGTGCTACGTTACTGAACGAATTATTGCCCTGTGGTACAGAGATGATAGCCAGGGTGTCCTCGAACACGCGACCAATTTGCTTCGGGGTAAACACGCTGATAATTACATGGTGAGTGAGTTAATCTTGTCAACTTCATGTTCATCTCTTAATGAGGAACGGACTTTCCCACTTTCGCGACGCAAATCACTTCAGTTGCCTCACTTCTTCAAAACTCGTGGCAGATGTTTAATTTGTTGATGTCGGGACGTCAAAATCAAAAATTTTTGAGAGGTGGTACAGCCTTTAGTATTTTGCGTCATTTTCTCGTCTTCTGACATGAAAAACAAATTCTTTAGCCGAGAAATTCTCACTTCATGGTGAGCTAATCTTGTCAACTTCATCTCTATCTTTTAATGAGGGAGGGAATTTCCACTCTCGTCACGCGAATCACTTCAATTCTTCTCGCTATCTGATTATTCAAAACTCGTTTCAGACATTTAATCTGTCGATGCCGGAACGTCATTTAAGCCAATAATTTTTAAGAGGTGTTACAGCCTTTAGTATTTTGCGTCATTTTCTCGTCTTCTGAGAAGAAAAACAATATCTTGAGCCATGAAATTCTCATTTCACAGTAAGTTAATCTTGTCAACTTCATCTTCATCTTTTAATGATAGCGGGAATTTTCACTTTCGCCACGCGAATCATTCCAGTTCCCTCACTATCTTCTTCAAACCTGTTTTCAGATATTTAATCTGTCAACATCGGGACGTCATTTCAGCCCAAAATTTTTAACGGCCGTTTCTTCCAGCTTCTAGCATTTTTTGTCATTTTTTCATCTTCGTGAAAAACATGACAACCTTTAAATTCTCGAGCCGTGAAATTCTCACTTCATAGTGAGTTAATCTCGTCAACTTCATGTTCATCTCTTAATGAGCGAGTATCACGTCAGTTCCCTCATTACCTGATTCATCAAAACGCGTTTCAGATATTTAATCTGTCGACCCCGGGACGTCACGAATCTAATACGAGAGAATGCGGTTGGCCCCAGGGTTTAGCACCAAGCCTGGAGAGACTGTGTGCTCTCTGCAAGGAGCTGGATTCTTGGTTGAACGAAGCGCCTAATCGTGTCGTTGTGCTTCACGCCAGGTGATTTTACAATTGCTTAATTATGACCAGCAAAAGATAATTACAGACTTCAATTGAGAAGTGTCTCATTTCCATCTGGACTCAAATGGTTCTTTTAAACAGGGGTGGAAAGGAGCGGCTGGGCGTTGCCGTGTCAGCGTACATGAACTACAGCAGCATATGTGGGGGACGTGATCAGGCACTCGATAGGTACGCAATGCGGAGGTTCCTGGATGACAAGATCGGCGCCCTCAGGGTACCTTCACATCGCAGGTATGTTTCTTAATCCACAAATATCGCTAATCCCCTTTTATTTTTTCCACATTTTTGCCGTCAATGTATCTTTTATCGTTGAAAAAAAATTTAATTTCATGGACAGTTGATTAGAATATTTAAAAGAATGAAAATTCAATGAAATTACAATTTTTATAGCAAAAGAAACATGAAAATTTTCGAACTTACTTGAATTTCCAATCAAACCATAAATATTGAGAACTAAATTATGTTCAATTTTGAATTAATTGTATATACAACCATCTATTTACCTAAATTTTTTTGATCTCTATTGATTTTCATGGAAGAATTAAGTGAAAATTGGCGTAATTCCTTGAAATTTCAGTAAAACTTTAGTGTAACAAAAATTTCCAAGAAGTCTACCGGAAATTTCAGTCCAAAATTCTGAGGAGTAAACGTGGGCGAAGTCATGAACTAGAGAAACATTGGTTGATTGCTGGTTGCATGCGAATAATGAAGATAATAACCAGTAATTGACCAAACCACGTGCTCTGCTCTGGCTTCTCCACTTTGTTAAGAAACCCGTTCTCCCAGTGGGTGATCTCCCACTGATTATGACGATCAAACGAAAAAAAAAAGTAACGTTCGGCTTGGTTAATTTTTCAAGAGGAAATCCAAAGATTCCATCGTAATTGGAACTGCTTCTTGAGCATTGATCGGCAATTGAGATAATTCGTTTATTTGCATTAATTTATTTTTCGCCAGATATATCGAGTACTTCAGTGGTCTTTTATCGGGATCGTTGAGAATTAATCCGTCGCCACTGTATCTGACTCACGTCACTGTACTTGGTGTACCACTGTTTGAACCGACTGGTTGTCGGGCCTTTCTCAAAGTCTATGAGGGCTTTACACCGGTTTACACGTCTGATCTTTACTCGGTGACCAATGCCAGAGAGTTTACCGTCAATCTTGGTGGGTTGAGGTTGCGGGGTGATATTCTTGTCAAGTGTTATCACAGGGTTTACTCGAAACAGAGCAGAGAAGCCATGTTTTCATTGCAGGTAAGAGGACAAAAGCTATTCTTTGAGACATCTTCATTCAAGTAGTTGAATTGCTTGAATTGTGAAATCTATTAGACTTGAATTAAGAAAGTATTGGAATGAGGTTGAACAAGGATGTGATGAAATCTCAAATTAAATCTCAAGAAATTCGTGATTTGCGTGATATTTCTTGGAACTTCATTTCAAATTCATTGCAATGTCCGGAGAAATCGTTAGATGCAGGGGTCCAGCATAAACTAATCAGAGCTATCCAATACCTCATCCTCAAAAAGAAGTTTGTTAAATTTTTTGCAATTTTTCTGAAATGTGAAATCTCAATTCAATAACTTGAAATTATATGAACTTTCTCAGAATATCTAATAAGAAAGTTCATAGGAGTCTACAGATTCCTGGAGATTTCATAAAATCTTTTCAAATCCCAAAGATATTTCACAATCCCTGAACACACTTTCAAGTTTAAAATTTCGGTTCAACTTGTTTCTGCGAATTGACTCATGTTTCAAGTAAATTCCATGACTTCAATAAACCTTACGACTTGAATTATCAACTTGCTCGAATCAAATGACAACATCAAGTCGCAATCAGATTTCATGACGCAAGAATCTTGAATCAAATTATGTTTCCTCTAGATGAAGTGTCAAGAGAATTTCTCATTCATCTCTTTCATCCTATGAATTTCAGTTCCACACGTGTGTAATAACAGAAAACGTGGTCAGTTTTCCTCGATCCGAGCTCGACATTGCATGCGACGATCCACGATGTCCATCAGACAGTGTCGTGACGTTGTACTTCTCGAGCGATGCTAAACGTCTAGATGGTCCAGTACCAGCACCCACACCCGCTGTGCCTCATGCATCGGCACATCACGATCCCATTCTTCACTGGGACAGCTACAGCAATCTCGAGATCAGCGACGATGGTAAGTCAATTTTCACATGAGACAATTAGGGGATTCCCAGGAATTTATAACCTAGAAATGTCCATTGAATGGTTTATCCAACAGAAGTGCATAGCTTGCGTCATTTGGGGCTCTTGCTCTGACTTTAACACATTTTTGGAGATTCTATTTTGGGGGCAGACACTACTGATTCACTCGAAATTTTTATTTAATTGCTTTGAAGCTTCTCTCGCACATTTGGGTCACATCAATTTAAAATGCATTATTCGTCCATTCGATTTTTCAGTATTCTCGTCTATTACAGTTCCCTCTATTTTCGTTCAACTCTGAAACCGCAATTTACAGCGAAGAATTAAACCTAAAATGTTATTACCAGGAGGTTTAAATCACTAGGTGGTTTTGGTTTTTTTTTCGTGAAGCCAGGATAGTGGGGAATTCACGAGGTTTATTCTCGGCAAGTAGGCGCCTCTGTAGCACCAGTGTGGGGGGAAAATGCGTAGCTCCACGGGTTTTGCGAGTTTTCTAAGCCGTCAGTCTGTACCAACGATGGTCTCAGGTCACAGAGTTTGAGGAACTCAAGTTAATTTGTTGTTAATTCAATCGAAGAAGCAGGGAAACAGTAAACTAATGAATTGTGGTTGTGATTTGTTGGTGTATGCGTTCAGCGAGTGAAAGATAATTGAAAAATTGAAACAATTTTCTACGGTGAGTAGATAAACGCTTGATATTATCCTCAAGGAGATTGAGTATGTTCTCTTACCCTCGTGACTCTTTCAACTACAACAGTGATTTCAGTCCAAAAATGGTAGCGATCCCGTTTTGTCAACTACCGTTACGGCGGGAAAGTTTAGATTTTTACGGTTTTTTTTCTTTTCTTACTCAGTGAGGAATCTGTCGAGCGGTCGACTTGTTAATTCTCTAGAAAACGATGGGGTTAACACGACGGTTTTCTATTCCCGTCGTGATGTTGGGGATAATGTTAACTGAGGGAAGCACGAAAATACCGAGAGTAATACGTTGGAATAATTCTCCCAAAAGTACAAGAAAATCTGGCATAACGCTAAATAGTGAAAGTTATGAGAGAGGTAAACAATGTTGATGCCACAGGAGGATGCAGCGGGTAATGAACAACGACCCTCAATCACTCTCGTTCTAAGTAATGAAAACAGAGAGATGTATTTGAGTTTGTAAACTGGAAGAAAAGGGTTTGGGTTTGGCTTAATTCAAAGTTTCAACTACCTTTGCGGCGGGAAAGTTTAGATTTCTAGATGCTTCTTTCTTTTACTCACTGAGGAAACTGTTGAGCGGTTAACTTGTTAATTCTCCAGAAAACAACAGGTTTAATACGGCGGTTTTCTATTTCCGTCGAGATGTTAGGGACATACATGGAAATCATTCCCCCGAAAATGCACAAAAAATCTGGCGTAACACTAAATAGTGAAAGTTATGAGAGAAGTAAACAATGGTGATGCAATTGGAGGATGCGGCAGGTGATAAACAAAGGGTGACCCTCAATCAGTCTCGTTGTAAATAATGAAAATAGAGGGATGTATTTCAGATTGTAAACTGGAAGGAAAAAGTTTGAGTTCAAATCGATTCAAAGTGTCAACTTTTGTCAACTACATTTACGATGAGAAAGTTTAGATTTCTACATTCTTTCTTCTTTTACTCACTGAGGAAACTGTTGAGCGGTCAACTTGTTAATTCTCCAGAAAACAACAGGATTAACACGATGGTTTTCTATTCTCGTCGGGATGTTGGGGACAATGTTAAATGAGGGAGGCACGCAAATACTGAGTAATCCGTTGGAATTATTCCTCCAAAAAGGTATGAGAGAAGCAAACAGTGGTGATGCAATTGGAGGATGCAGCGATGATGAACAAAGGATTACCCTCAATCACTCTGGTTCTGAATAACAAAAAAAGAAGGATTTATTTCAGTTTGTAAACTGGAAGGAAAAGGTTTGGGTTTGAATTAATTCAAAGTAGCAACTACCTTTACGTCCAGAAAGTTTAGATTTCTAGATTCTTTCTTTCTTTAATCACAAAACAACGGAGAATCACTCACGTTCTAAATAATAAAAACAGACGGATGCATTTTAGTTTGCGAACTGAACGGAAATGGTTGAGTTACACTTGATTCAAAGTGTCAATTTTTGTCAACTACCTTTACGTCGAGAAAGTTTAGATTTCTACATTCTTTCTTCTTCTACTCGCTGAAGAAACTGTTGAACAGTTCACTTGTTAACTTGTTAATTCTCCAGAAAACAACGGGGTTAACACGACGCTTTTCTACTCCCGTGAAGACGTTAGAGACAATCTTAACTGAGGGCGGGCCAAAAATACGAAAAAAATCTGACATGACACTAAATAGTGAAAGTTATGACAGAAGTAAACAATGGTGATGCAATTGGAGGATGCAGCGGACGATGAACAAAGGTCGACCCTCAATCACTCCTGTTCTGAATAACAAAAACAGAGAGATGTCTCTCACATTTAAACCCAAAAAATAACAAACAAAAACCGTGTTTTCATCTCTTCCCGAGATTGAAAATAAACAGTTCCCTGATTTTTCACTCTGAAAGAGGCAATTTCAGGCTTCGCCGTAGGGCTGATGACCAACTTTTCCGCTTTATCCTCCTCAGACCGTTGAAAATGAGGAGTGGTTACGCATGAACGATCGTCCGCAGTACCGAGAATAGGTAGCCATCAGTGATGTTACAGTAACACGTGGTGGCACTCCCCAAAGTACCTACAATTTTCAACGTCGTCCGCTACGTCGTCGCTCGCAGTTTATCCAGTGTTAATCGCAAATCCATACGTCATGAAACCACCCACATTTATCAACAGCCATTATTCCTTCACTCACCAAATACGGTTTCCCATGGTTTGTGTGGCATCAATCCTCGAAGTAGGAAGTCACTTCGATTTCATCGTGGGTACCGATGATTAAAATCCCATCGAGGTCTCTTGTTCCACATTCGTCATACCTCTTATGGCGTTATAAACCCAAAAATATATTATTAAAATATATTTTACGCATTTGCGGTTTACGAAATCATGAAGTTTAGATCTTACACATGTTGTTATTTGTTCCCAGCGTAATTTATCAATCGAAGCACATAAATATTATTTGTATTTTTCATATGTGAAGCAGACAAGATCATAAAGTTTAAATCCCACAAAACTCGTGATATATCAGGAGCATAATTTATTGGTCAATCCAACGAATTATGTGAAATCCACGGTTGATGATGCGATTACATAAACAAGTGAAATTTCTACTCCATTCGTATCCCATTTTCGTATTACCTTTAAACTGTACAATATTTACGGATTTGTTCCACGTTCCCCTTGATTTCCACTTCACATTCTGAACAATGGCTCTGCACTGTTAGAAAAGAGTTGAAAGTTCGTGGACAGTCTTTGAAGTGATTTTGAGATTTCGAGTTGTGAGGGATAAATTAGGATTTTTCAAATTTTTAAATAGCAATAATAACATTAAAGTAAGATAAAAATTTTTCATTTTATTACAATTCGTTTTTAAATAATTGAAAATTGAAGAGAATATTTACCTGATTTTTTCTAATTTCTATCGATTTTCATAGAATAATTGAATTGAAATTAGCAATTTCGAGGCTCCAATGATCCTTTTCATCTAATTGTGAATTTTCAATGACGAAATTCTTCGAAATTTTAGTAAAAACTTTAAATAAGTGTAAGGCAAACTTCAAAAAAATAAAAATTTCATGGAAAATTAGCTAATAATTTTCAGTAGAATGACATTGCATTGGAATAAAAAGAAAAAAAATCTTGAAATTGTAGATTTCACTGAAAATTTAATGAAATTACATATTTTTTTCGCAGCAGCAAGACAAGAAGTGCTCAAATAACTTGAATTTCCTGTAACGATTGCAAATAAATTCTCACTATTGTGGGGTTTAATTCAATTTAAGATCACATCGTTTATAAAAGTTCCCATTCGCCATGAAAATCAAATGAAATTCACTTTTTCATTGTGAGCGATCATCAATATTTCAAGGACAGCTTGATTCAATTGAATTTTCAGTAGATTATCAATTGAAGAAAATAATGACCTAAATATTCGCTATTTTCCATGATTTTCGTTATCCTGTGAATCGGGAAATTAGAATTTTGGTCAATATACAAAAAAATCACCTGATTTTTCAGTAACAAAATGGAGGTAAATTCAATGTAAACTTGTTGTTGTTAAAAATTCCACGTTTTTTTACTTGAAATTTGAAGAGTAATTTTCTAACAGTGCACTGTCTCAAATGGCAGGTGTGAAAACGTGTTGTCCCCTCATCAACCCTCGTTTCCACTCCCCCCCCCCCCCCCCCCC